AAGAACAGTGTCTACATTTTGAATAAGACACGTTAAACACAGAGAAGTGTCTTAAATATTTGCGTAACAAACGAGGAAAGTTGTGCTAAAAAAAACACAACCCCACTGCTATATTAGTTCTCCACAGCTATCCACTCATTCATCATCATTGTCACCCCAACTGGGCTGGATTTGCATTCTTGGTTTCCCTTGCAGTTGCGCTCCATCAGTTAAAACAGCTAATTAAGACAAAACATGTGATCGGAAACAAAGATTGTGAGTGCGGCCTGACTGACAGTGATTGGTTGTTTTTTGTTAAGAGAAGCTTTGATTCGTTGAACTTATAGGCTGCTTCAGAGCATTAAGTAGAGGCTGACAGCCTTTGTTTAACCAGCACATCACTGTGAGTTAAATTGGGTTTTGCCAGCCTTTAATACAGCCTGATTGTGATTCTTTCTGAAGTGGAGTCTAATCCTGTGGGTTTGAAACCCATCTTGCATATCTTAGTAAAACAATGGCATTCCCTTTCAAGTCTAACGCAAATCTTGATCTAGTAGATGTGGATTTAGATTCACAGGGACCTGACTGTGAGGCAGAGAGCTGTGTTCTTTTATTTAACCTCTCCATCTGATATCGGCAGCTCAAGCTTCCTTATTACATCTCACTGGTCTCAGACACACAAAGGGCACAGGAAATGCACCATTCATGGAAGCTGACCAGCTAAAAGAAGAAAAAGAGGAGAAATGAATTGCTGATAATGTTTTTGCCTCCTGCAGGTGATCATTGAGAGATATAAAGGAGAAAAGCAGCTCCCCGTACTGGACAAGACCAAGTTCCTGGTGCCAGACCATGTCAACATGAGTGAACTCATCAAGATCATCAGGTAGACGCTGACCTCTTCTCCCCTCCTCACCATCTTTCCTTTACATTCATCATTTTCTCCTCTTCAGTTTTGTTTGCTTTTCTTAAATGTCTCTGACTCCTCTTTGTCTGTGTCTTTTCCTTCACTTTCACTTCTTTTAATTTCCTTTCATCTCCTCTTTCTTTGGCTTTCCCTTTTCCTTTATTTTGAACATCTTCATCCCTTTTCCTGGCATCAAATTTCCTTTCTTCTTTCTTTCATCTGTTTTGCATATTTGTTACATACAAAACATATTTGCATATATATTCTTCTTACTTACTCATTCCATGTTCTGTATTTTTCATGACCTCAATATACCAAACCTTTGTTGCACTTTTTTGAGCTAGCAAACATATGGATGGACTGAGGGAGGAAGGGATAAACAGATGGATGCCATATTTTTTCCATACGTTTCCTTTTCTTTCTTTCTTTCATTCAATCTCCTATTCACTCTCCTTCCCCTTCTTTCATTTCCTTCACAAGTTCTTTTCCACTTCTTGATTTTCTTCCTCTCCTATCCATGCTTTATACTTAGGATATTGTTTCCCTCTCACTTTCTTCTACTGTCTCCCCTTTTTCTCACTCTTGTCATGTCTTTCATTCCCCACCAGGAGGCGCCTCCAGCTAAACTCCAACCAGGCTTTCTTCCTGCTGGTTAACGGTCACAGTATGGTGTCTGTGTCGGCCGCCATCTCTGAGGTGTACGAGCGAGAGCGCGACCAAGATGGCTTCCTCTACATGGTATACGCCTCCCAGGAAACCTTCGGCGCTGCCACGACTGCCCAGTGAACAACCTTCCTTCATCCCTCCGTTTCTTCCTCCACTGGACCCGGCGACTGGACAGTTGTAGTTTTTAGTTTCCCCGTCCCCCCTTTCATGTCTCTTGTCACATTCTTTTGAGTATTAACTGTAAGAACTAAAACACAGACACAAACTGCTAAATCTAAACACAGCATCTGATCGTCTGTCAGCTCATTTTGGTCCTGGTTATTTGTCTGTGTGCCGCCACTCTCAGCCTGTAGCATAAAGCCACAAGGGGTGACCAGAAACAGCAGAGTTTAGGTAGAGAAATCCCCACCCCACCTAAAATGTAACCGACTCAGGCCAATAAGAGTCTTTCCTCTCTGTTGTTGCCCTCTCTGGATAAATCCTGTCCTCTGGCATTTACGTGTTGATGGCATTTTCAGTTTCCAGTGTTGTGGCTACACGTCTCCTAGGCTGTATTTATGTTAATGTATATATAAATTTCAGGTAGTGATGTTACATAAAAAGGTGGTGAGGCTCACCACTTATCTGTGTCTCTATATATACATTAGACAATGAACAAAGCCAGCCTTCTGTTGCAGTTAGAAGATAAAGCTTGGGGATTTCTTTTGCCAGAGAGATTTGAAAATTAAGAAGAGAAGATCCTTAAGCGTCACGTGTCGTCACATTCCCTTCACGGTCCTCCTTCTTTGCCGTTTTTACACCTCCCTGCATTTTGTAGTCTGAAGCATCCTCGCTGTATGATGTTAGGAAACTGCTTTGCTCTTGAAACAGATGATTGTAGTCCACCGAAAAGAGAAAAAGAAAAAAAAAAAGATGCCTCGTTTGTTGGTGTACAGATATTGTTGACTTTGAATATAAAAGGGGCTCCGATGTGAGTGTAACCAAGTTGATTTTTGGACACACTATAAGGAGCGTGGTCTGATTGCACGACTGACTGGAGGATTGATGGTGTTGCTGGAAGGAAAAAAAATGCAGATAAGGGGAGGAGTTTGCCATGTCCTCATCCTTTTTTTTTCTTAATTCATATTTTTGTTTTGCAGAAACGATGATTGGAGAGAGCAAAACACAGGCAGGTTCACGAGCATCGTGTCTGGCTGTGGGCTTTTTTTCCCTTTAACCCACAGGGCTGATTTTTCCCAGAGCTGTCACTGCTGTTCAGTTTCACTTCACTGAATTACAACAAGCACTGTCACTGCAGGGGAATTTAGGAATTTACACCTGCCCAGTAGGTTTTTAAAGGGCGGCACTCTTTCACAGATTTGAGTTTTAGCTGCTTTATATCACAGTATTTTTTATCTTTTTGGTTCCTTTATTTAATAGGTTTTGTTTGTTTTTTTTGACTGTACGATGTGTTGCGACTATTCGCTGTCTGCAGTACAAATAGTTTAAGCTACTGTGTGTTTGTAACAGAGGGGTGGAGCATCTGTGTGTGTGGGTGTGTGCATTGTCCTTTCCGCCTGCTCCTCTGTTTCACACACATCCACATGCAGCAATATCACACAGCCTCCTTTATGTATTTATGTTGGTATTTTGTAAACAATAAAAGGAGGGAAAAAAAGGTTCCTGTGTTTTGTTTTGTTTTCCTGAACATTAAACCCTAAATTGACTTCATTACTGCTACATATGTGAAAAGACAGCATTAAAAGGTAACAATAGAATGCCATATAATCACGTCTGTGCTTACATGTCCAACAGCTGATCACCTATTTGTATAAAAGATGCACATAAAATACGCGATTGCCCGACTGACTAATCACCTTGTCTGTTGCTTGTTTTAGTGCTGAAGGGCAACCCTCTTCTGACTTCTTTACACTGAAAATCAATTAGATTGAACCAGAGCAGACAGGATCATAGCAGTAACACAGCAAAAACGCCAAACATTAGGCAGTTTAGAGAATTGCAACAACAGTGGAAACTAGCGCTGCAATCACTATTTCTTAGGCCGAAAGCATCTAGAAATAATTTAATAAATCTTATTAGTGGGGGGATAAAGGACAGGGTCAAACTATTCCTCCTTTAAGTAGGAGATTTAAGACAATAATACAGAAAACAATCAGACAGTGGGAAAGGAAAAATTCCATTTACAGGAAGAAAGTTTCAGGAGAACCAGACACAGGGAGGGGCGGCTATCTGTGTGACTGGACAAGACATGCTGAAGAGAGCCAGAGATTAATAACAACTAATGATTAAATGCAGGGAGGTGTATAAACACACAGTGACTGAAAAAGAAACGCTCAGTGCCCCATGGGAAACACTGAGTAGTCTATGTCTATTGCTGCATAACCAGGGGAGGATTCAGGGTCACCTGATCCAGCCCTAACTGCATGCTTTATCAAAAAGGAAAGTTTGAAGCCTAATCTTAAAAGTGGAGATAGTATCTGTCTCAAAATCCAAACCGGAAGCTGGTTCCACAGAAGACGAGCCTGAAAGCTGAAGGCTCTGCCTCCCATTTTACTTTTAAATACCACAAATAAGCCTAAAGCCTTAGAGTAAAGTGCCCTAAAGTGGGCCTGATTATTCAAGACCTTGTATGTGAGGAGAGGCATTTTATATTTGATTTTGGATTTAACAGGGATTTAAAGGGAAGTCAGTATAAAAGAAATATGCTCTCTCTTTCTAGTCCCCGTCAGGACTCTTGCTGCAGCAGTTTGGATCAACTGAAGGCCTTTCAGGGAGTTTATAGGACATCCTGATAATAACTGCATAAAAGTAATCCAGCCTAGAAGTAATAACTGCATAAACTAGCTTTTCAGCATCACTCTGAGACAGGATGTTTCCAATTTTACAGATATTCCACAAATGGAAGAAAGCAGTCCTGCATATTCGTATAATATTTGCCTTGAAGGACATATTCTGGTCAAAACTGGCTCCCAATGTTCCTCACAGTGTTACTGAAGTAATGCCATGCAGAGTTAGTATCTGGTTAGACAGCATGCTATTCAGCTTAGGTAAATCCTTCAAACAACTAGAAAAACAAGATTTTGTACTTCCTGATAAAACAAGGAACAGACAATACTAAATACTGTCAAAACAAACAAAAAACAGCCAGTGCAGATATTCAGAGGACAATGGAAAAAGATGTGAAAGTGACTCATACCTTTGACTGCATATAAATGCCGATGCATGTCTTTGACAGTCGCTTAGCCAATTACCGTGGAGCGTGTCCACTGTGTCATCGTCATGTTTCGAAAAGCTAAAATGACGGCAACAAAAACTTTCAGCTTGAGGCTCCGCCCATTTTGTTTTTACTCATTGTATTGTACATAAACATTCACCTTCAACCTTTTAAGGATCCTCGGAGCAGCCGGTCCCATAATAAATAAGCCACACAGGCACTGTGATAAAAGGGAGAATCCAAAATTATTTAATTTTAAGCCATAAAAAAAAATCTTACCAACAAAGAACTGGGTAATTAAGTCCAAACTTTCAAAACACACAAATATTTTAAAAGCATATTTAAACAAAGATTTTGAAACATGCATGCATCAAGTTACCAACATCCTTAAAGAGTAAGTAAAACCTACAAAAGTGGAACTTTTTCTGTCTACAAACCATCTGTTCTTTGGTATAATCTATAGAAAACAATGACAGGGTAAACCAGCAATATAAATTTCCCTCATCTATGTAACTAATGGAATAAAATACAGAACAATTTATTTTACATTATGAAAGCGAATTGCCGATACCTCAAACAAACGCGTACATACTTAATGTTCGGATTTTTTTTATTTTAAATAAACACCCCACACATCCCTGTGCTGTGCCCTCCAGGGGTACAAAGAGAGTTTCATCTGAAGGACCAGCTGTCCTTGTGTCTGTGCAGCTCTGGGTCCAGCTCAGCAGCTTCCCACCCGCCCAACCCCACCGGGTCGAAGACCCGAACACAGAAGCACTTCCTATTGCTTTCTTAAAATTCCAACATGCTCGACATACTTAGACCTGTACAAACAAAGTACAAAAGAACAACTCCCGCTTACACCACAATTATGAAAAGAGAAAATTGGCACTTTGAATGTTCGTCCTGATGTAAACCACATGATATTCTCTGATTGTCGTTGCTGTATTTGTGCACAGAGGGTCATTTCACCCTCTGGCGTGCTCAGAGGTAGAAAGGCTGCAGATCGCCAAGAAGTGAATAAAAATGGCTGACAGGTCCCCAATGCATGCCACTGCATAAAAGCCCAACTAACACGGAGTTTGAGTGATGGTGATGTTATCTGCAACCAGAGTCTGTGCAGTACCCATCAAGGGTGGAGACATGGTATTGAGGTCTAAGCACAGTGCTCTTAAACATCAAGCGACCAGAAGAAAGAAGATGCTTTCCAGGCAGTCCAGAATTCACAGCAGCCTACAGACCCAAAAATGTTACATATGAGGGGTAAACATGCTTCCAAGGTTTGAAACCTTAGATATCGTTCCATTTTCTGTTTTGTATATATGGGTTTAATTATTAGTAAAATCCCTTTCTTCCCACACTTTGAGCCACTTTTTGGCGTTCATCATTTTGATTTAAGGCAAGCCAGCAGTGGAGAAGTTATTTAGCAACACTTTCTTTTAGGAGAGTCCTCAGTCAACCAATCAGCATGCATTAGCAGAGTGCTAGCATTTTATGGGTAAAAACAACAGCGTTGTAAAAAAAACAAACAAACAAAAAACTAGAGGACATAACTGGCAGTTTACTTCAATCAGGCATATTATTAATGCTGCATTTGTGAAAACTGAAATAAAGCATGTTCTTCTTTGTATAGAAGCAGGTGAAAATAATTATTTTACCTATTTAGCTCCCCTGGGTTTGCAGGAAGAGAAGCTGTTCCCTCTGGATCTGCTCTGACGTAGCCCAGCAACCACCACCTCCATTGTGCAACTTTACTGCAGCAGAATCTGAACTGCCCGTCTTCTACACTGGTCCTTTGCTTACCAGCTAGAGCATTCGAATCACCCGTTTAACACAAACTTAACTTCCTGAAAAAAATGCCAAAGTCCCTCAAGACGTGTTAGAAGATTCGTGCAGAAAGTTCCTGTGTACATTTCCTGAACAGTGGCCAACAGGTGGCTCAGAAACGAATTTAAAAAATCAAAACAAACTGAGCAAATGGAAAAATGAACACTCAAACATCACCGTGATAAGATACGCTTCAAAGAAACTATTTTGGTAGTCTTGGATGAAGTGCTGTGTGATAATGTTTAGCCAGCAGTGCTGAGAAAAAGGCATGCACTCAATACCACATGTTCATCCCCTGGTTCTTACTTTGGTTGCACATTACATCAACCATCAGATTTTCCATCTTTACATACAGACTCGGGCTGAAGATGCACAACAGACACCAGTTTTCCTCTTAGATCTCCAGTTGCTGAAGGTGGTTTCCAGTTCATGCAGTCTGTGTGCCAGTTAGAATTCATTCATTCAACTGTTAGCACATTTAAATACGGTGTTCCAGTTTAAATGTGGCCGACAGCTCTGTGCACACCTGTATAAAGGCTGGTGCACGAGATGTAAAGCACCAAACCAGACATTTGACTCCTGCTTGTTGATAACCAGAAACAAAGCAAATGAATAAACCTCTGAATATGTAACTGGTAGATTGAGGCCGTTTTGAAATCAAACAGAGCTTAAATCCAGGTGAATATGTGAATACTGTGACTCAGGATTTGGTCAGGATTAACTTTGGAACTGTCAACCACCTGAACATACAGTGCCAGTTTTAGAAATAGTAGATTAAAGTGGAATCTTTGTGTGGACATGCCAACCGTGAGGAGCAACGAGCCAACACTCAAACGATTAGCTGTGGTACTGAGACGTTGCTGAGACGTGCACCAGTAAATCCTGTGAAAGGAGGGATAACACTGGTACTTGATTAGGCTGCGTGTTCTGGAAGACCAGATCTGGAGTGCTGTGGTTGTCATGGGAAGCTTCTTTTCAGGTCATGTGACTGATTGTCGGTCTGTAGTGTTTTCTCTGAGGAAGACTTTGAGCTACATCTCTGAGATCAAGCATGGTAGAGTTTATAAATGTCCACTTTTACTTGTGCCTAAAATCTTCTTCCTCCTCCTCTAATCTCTTTGCAAGCTTTGGCTTAAAAAAGAAAGAAAAGAAAAGAAAGAAAGAACACCAATGATTCAACTCAGCAGTCTTTGAACAGACTAACAGTGAACCTCCGCACTAAAGGAGCAGGCTGTTTGTCTCCTGTCCCTTTTGTGTTTTTTGTTGGCTTCAGCAGGACCATGAGGTACAGTTTAGTCTGGAGTTCAAATCCAAAGCCGCCTCTGCCGCTTAGTCTCCTGAGTCCTTGCTGTCAGAGTGAGGTGTGTACTTCAAGCGAAATGTCCCTGAGAAACACAGCAGAGTTGTTAAAGTGATGCCCCAATCTATGGCATCCCAAAGGGTTCAAAATTATATAACGGACACATGACATTATGAAGGAAGTGGGTAAATGAAGTCACAAATATGTTTTTAGACTCTTAAAATTTTTAAGTAATGAATGAGGTAAATTTATTCAAAACAGATTTTAATTTTTAGTAACATCAAAATCTGTTTTGAAATATTAAATTATACTGAAATAAATAACTCCATCTCACTAAACAGGTCAAGTTTTACTTTTGTATATTACACATCATCATTTCAGTTAATCCAATTACACATTCAAATTAAATTTCGTAATACCTATAATTCATTTTACAAATTCGCCATTTTAATTCCTGCATAATTGTTATACTTTTGTGCGTTTGGGCACAGTTTGCAAACTAAATCGTGTGAAGAAAAAAGACTGAAAACTGAAGTAAAATTTGTTAGAAACAAACATTTTATATTTAAATACAAAACGAACAAGTAGAATTATCAGTTATTATATTCTCAAATGTACTGTCCTTACAGCCAACTGCATTTATAAATGTATATCACACATTAAAATCTGGTATTTTTCACACTCCGTACTCACTGACTCACCTTGCTGTGTCGCATCCATGGGTGGCTGTTTGCAGTCCTCGGCTCTGTGTCCGTGGGCACCGCAGTTATAACATGACAGGTTCCCTGCTGTCCTTTTCTGCCCACCGTTTCCCATGATGCCATGGGGCTGGTAAAAGCCGAACCCCTGCTGCTGGTCATGTGACAGCGGGCTGTGGCGGTAGAGGGGCGGCGGTACCATCATTGGGTAGGAGAATGGTGCAGCGCCTGTGCCGGCGGTGCTGGACGACGCTATCAGGGGGCTGAGATGGAGCAGAGGACCCAGGGTGAAGAGTGAGGGCCCGGCCGAGAACGGCTGCAGGTAGCTGGCTGCGGCGTATCCAGGTAACGCCCCGTAGGCGCCGCAGTTCCCTCGACAACCGCAAGAACTGCAAACACATACGGAAGGACTGTGACCAGAACTTTGATCCAATGAAGGAGCAGAGGAGGGTGAAGGAGAGGGGCTGGAGGAATGCTGGGGTGGGTAGTAAGTGTTGCCCGGGACTGCAGCCACAGGAACGGTGCTTGCTGTTGCCATGGGAACATAGCTACCTCCACCACTGGAGCTGCCAGTCTGAGAGGCGGATTTTGAGGAGGTGCAGGACGAGGAAGCGGAGAAAGAGGCGAAGGAGGATGAGGATACAGGGGGGTAAGAGTAAAATCCAGATGGAGAAGGGGAGGAAGAGGATGAGAGGTGGAAGTGGACAGGGGGGTGGGAAACGTGGTGGTGGCTGTTGGAGGTGGAGGTCAGAGCGCAGCTGGTTTCTACCATCAGACTAACACCACCTCCCGCAAGACCACGACAAACCACAGAGTCCTGAAGTCCAGACGAGCCATCCATGTTGACCCTGGAGAACAGGTTTTCCCGTCTCACCCCCACCCCAGCCCCCACCCCGAGCCCTGAACTGAAGCTTGCACCGGCCACAGGAAGGCTCGAGCCCAACGGCTTAGTCCGGTCCTCTGTGGCCAGCGGAGGGGGCCTGGGCTTGCGAGGGGAGGTGAGGATGCGTGCTGGGTTTGAGACCGGGGAGAGCAGCGTCTGTGGGTAACCGCCCTGTGGGTGATAAGCAGATTGCGGGAGGCCGAAGGGGAGGTGGGAGGAGCATGTGGGAGGGAGAGGAGGAGCTGGATCGGTTTGGACGGGCAGGACCTGGGCTGTGGGGCGACTGGAGCCTGTCGAGTTCAGAATGAACATGCAGGGCCGATCCTTCTCTGGACCACTTCCTGCTGTATCTGGAGCCAACACACCTGCAAGAGATTTGTGTTTATATAACATTTGCATATATATTTGGATATAAACGGTACGGAAAAAGCAAAAGTCTATAGTTTTGCGTCATTGATCTTATCGTTTTAACAAACTTCTATTTCAAATTTCGTTGACCTGCTTCTCCTTAACGTCAATCTAGACTTTAAGAACTGTTCTTCGGAAATCGTGCTGACGCGGTTTGAATTAATTCTGCAGTCGTGAGATAAAAACGTACGTCTGTGAATGTCTCTGGTCCTGTCAAAGGTGGAGTCGCAACTGTGTGGGGTGCGAGGGGAGCAGGAAGAGCTGGAGTAGCCCGAGGACGAGCTGCTGTCTGTGGAGACAGGGTGGTGGTGCGGCACGGCGTCCACCTCCACTCGCAGTTCTCCTGCAAAACATTTGAATACAGTTCAGTTCTGAACTGTTGTAACCCTTCCAGTGAAGTGAGTCTGCTTCATTATCTATATCTAGTACATGTCTAACGGAACCTCATAGTTCTGGAGCACGTTGATGAAACCGATTTGAATTTGAAACCAAATTTTCTTGGAGAGAAGAGCAGGTGGGCAGCTCGTGATGACCATATTATTACACTCCCTCACTATGACATCATAAAGACGCAAAAGGGAAACATTTAAAGCAATCTGAAGCCTGAGCATTGGCTCACAGTGATTTGGCCATTCTTGGAAACAACCCTGCTTTCTTACCTGCGCTGGAGGTGGGGTGAGCTGAGGGTCCTATGTGACTGGAAGGCGTCACCCTGGCAATGCCACTGCACGGCCGCTTCTCCATCTTCATCTCCCTGCTGGGAACACGCAAGCATTCGAGTCAGAAACACAGTCTTTATAAAGTGTAGCGAATACTTAAGATAAGTAAGTACTATACTGTGTTTATTAAAGGTCAATAAAACAGGCACATACGATGGCTAACTAGACACCCAGGCGGTAAAAGTCTAACAAGACTCAGTTGAGGAAAAGACGACTGACTCATTGGCACTGTGCCATCATAAGTGGACTAAGTGAAGTATTTTCTGAGATCCTTAAACAAAGGAAGCATGCAGCTTCCCATGTGTACTTCTTCTAGATAGCTCTTTTTGACCAGAAATTCTTTCCATCATGTTCCCACACCAAAAATGGAATTTTCTTTCTGTGAGCATTAGGGACATCATAGCAACTTGAGCCACTTGTGTGAATCTTGAATCAGTATTTCAGCCATGAACAGTAGAGAGCAGCAACTTCCTGACAGCCCAGCTAGCTGCTTCTTACCAAGGTTATTATCGTTAACGAAAACTAACGAAATAAC